CTCAAAATCCTTGGTGACCTTGAACAAGTCACATCCATGCCTAGGCTGGACCAGAAAGTCCCTTATTTAACAGTTTTGGCGTTCTGTGCTGATATGTAAGGCCCTTTCCCGTTCCGTGTTCTCAGATGCCCTTCTGCTCTGATGTTTTGGGTTTTAGATTTGGATGTCCCTTCTAGCTCTTTTGTCGTTTGTTCTAATACTCTATATTCTAAGTTCCCTTCTCCCACTGGATACCAGGTAGGGGTATCTTTCCAAAACTCCACCCCTTCCACTCCACCCCCAGGGGCCCTGTTCTGTAAATGGCTTGCGCCTTGTCTGTTCTCCAGGGCACCTGGGAACAGTGAGTACACCCTGTCCCTCCCAGGAGACCTGTGCTGTGCTGTGCTGACTCAGAAGGTTAGCAAATCAATCAGTGACTGGAAAAACACAATCTCCGCCCTCATCTCTGTTTGGAAACTCCTCCGTGGCAGTCTTCCTCCAAGTGGTGCTTCTTCAAACAAAGTGGCTTAGAACCTCTGCAAAGAGACGTGTATATTGGGGCAATTTGTTTATATCAACGCTTGTTAATAAAGGGACACAGAGGGTGAGCTAACGTTTACTCCACGGAGCGTGCTCCAGCAATATAAACAACAGGAAAAACATGGTCTAGTTAGGGCTCAGCCAGAGGCCTGATGTGCTGTGTGCCAAGGCCCACAGTCTCAGCCTGGATCAGACCTGTCAGTCAAATAAATAGTAAAAGAGTAAGGATGATAAAGTGAAAAGAGTCTTGTCATTAGGGCACCTGGATTCAAATCCTGTCCCCAACACTTAACTGTGTTAACCCTGAGCAAATCATTTCTCTAAGCCTCAGTTTCTCCATCTGTAAAATGATGATATCAGTCACCCTATCTTTTTTATGGAGCAGTTGTGAGATCATCCACCGATAAATCTTTTTTAGATTTGAAAGTTCTATTAATATCGGAGTCCTCTACAGATATGTGAGTCCTTAATAGGAAGACCAGCTTGGGCTAATGGAAAACATTGGATTTAACAGGGAGAAGACCTGGGTTCCACAGCTTCTTCTACCCATGTTCTTAGTTCTTTCCTCTGGGCCAAAGTGGAATAATTATGAGCCTCCTTCCACTGGACAACTCTTCAGACATTCCTCACTGTCTGCTGAATAAATCATGAACTTCTTAGCCTGGCGTTCCAGGTTCTACTCTACCTTTCCAGTCTTCTCGTATACAAATGCTTCTTCCTACAGACTCTGACCCTCCATTCTCATCCTACTCATTGCCTCATACCTTTTTGAGAGGGGAATCTGGGCCATATCTATCCCCATATTCCCAATACTGAGGCTGGGTCCTTGAAAGAGTAGATAATTAATCAATGTTTGTTTAAATGAATCTAGGCTGGTGCATTGTAGTAGAGAGAACCCAGGTTTTGGAGTCAGAGGACCTGAGTTCAAATTCTGATTCTGCTTTGAATCAATGTGATCTTGAGAAAATAGCTTCTACTTTCTGGACCTCAGTTTCCCTATTTGTAAAAAGAAAGGATTGGTTAGGCCATTCTAGCTTTAAGCCTGATGAATGAATTGCTGCTCAAAAATACTCTATTCTTAGGGGCAGCTAGGTGGTACAGTGGATAGAGCACTGGCCCTGAAGTCAGGAGGACCTGAGTTCAAATCCAGCCTCAGACCAAACACAATACTTACTAGCTGTGTGACCCTGGGCAAGTCACTTAACCCCAATTGCCTAAAAAAAGAAAACCCAACAACTCTATTTTTCAGGGTCCCAGGGGACAAAGCATGTGCCTATTGGCAATGCGACTGCACTGAGAAAGAATAAGGAAGCAAGATTCCAGGTAGGAAGATGAATGCTGCATGGTTTAAGCAGCTAGGTTAGGGGGATCTTAGACAAAGGATTCCTAGATTCTTGGACTCAGTAGCTTTGTTATCTGGAAGTTGGTCCTTACCAGCCTTGGTCTCAAGGGGTGCCTGAGAAAATTCAGATATGAGATGGTGACAGTGGAGAAAAGTTAGAAGGGACCATCTTTTGACTCCCAGACCAGTCTTCTTTCCACTACTGATCCCAGGTGAGGCTAGGATACATTCACTAGGGTAGGGCCTCTTCTAGCCTGGGTCTCATTGCCTCCCATAAGACCAGTGCCTAATATAAGGATTATATCAGAGGTTGGCAAACTATGGTTTGGGTGATGAATGTGGCAGAAGGACCATGTGTGGCCAATGATTAACTCCCTGTCATTTGGGTGAGCCACCTGCCATGAGAACAAGTTTTCACAGATTCATAGAATCTCCAAGCTGGAAAGGTCACCTAGTCTAACCTCCCATTTCATGCAGAAATCTCCTTTACACCATCTCTAAAAGTGACTCTCCAGCTTCTGCTTGAATATCTCTAGTGAAAGGAAGCTTACTACCCATAAAGGCAGCTCATTTTGTTTTTAGGCAACTTTAATTAGGAAGCTTTCCTCATAATGAACCGAGAGGAAGGAATTAACTACGTTGTATAAAAAATATATTCTGGAGCCCTTTCTAAACAATGCCCAACAAATTACAAGATGTTCTTAACCGTAAAAAAACCCCAAAAACCAAAAACCAAAATCAGCCTCAGCCCCAGTGTCCAGCCCAGCTGAGGCCTGTTCTGGTCCTGACAGGCTGAAGCTGCTTGAGACTTGAAGACTGTAGATGTTCCAGATGCCAGGGTCATCTCAACCAGGATTTGACCATTGGCCTTCTCCCTATCAGTGTCCTGTCATTTATTTAGACATTTCTTAAGTGTAATGGAAAGAAGACTAACTTTGGGTTTGATTGCCACTCTGCCACTTAGCTTCCCCCTGTAAAATGAAGTTGATGCAGTGGAAACAGTACTGAATTTGGATTTAGAAGACTTGGGTTCAATTCTTGATTGCCATTTTCTAGCTGTATGATCTTGTCTAAGTCACCTAACCTTTATGGGCCTCAGTTTACTCATTTGTAAAATGAAAGGGTTGGAATAGATGGTCTCTGAGGTCTCTAAATCTATTGTCCTTCCAGCTCTATGATCCTCTCACTAGAAGGCCTAGGACGTCTGTCCCTTACAGCTTTAACATTTTTATGTTCTAAGGTTCCTTCTAGTTCATAGACATTCTATGATTCTGTAATTATAAAATGAGGCCAAATGGAAGATGGAGGAGTAGTTTACAGCATGGGGAAGAGACAAAACCAAGCCAAGGGCCATTTCTAGAAGAGCAAGACTCCTGGGTGCCATCTTGAGGCTTCCTGGATTCTCTGATCTTATCCCTGTCTTAGGCTCCCCCTGCTGTCAACAGGAGGAAACACACCTCAGCACAGTCTAGACCAGGCAATGGAGAGCCAGAACCTGGGCCTGGGCAGCTAGCCCTGGGAGGCCAGAAAGGGGAAAAAGATGACCACTCAGGGTTTGTTCCAGGGAGTGTAGTATACTGTACACTTCTTACTCACATCCTTTCTACCATTATAATTTCCCAATTATCCTGGTGACATCAGGTCACAGTAAACATCCTGAGCTCTCAAAGAGAAAAAGAAGTCAGAGACTATGTGCATGTGGGGAAGATGCTAATGGGTTTTGCACCATCTCTGCCACCAGCTGCCTCCCTGACACACTGCCTACTGTTGCAGGGCTTCCCTCAAGGCCCCAGGTCCAGGACAGTTGTCAGTCTTAGGGACAGCTCTGCTCAGCACCCATAGCCCTGTTCCCACCCACCTACAGACCACATGGAAGTGGATGAGGGGATGGGAAACAGGGGAAAGGATGGCAAAAGGACCCTCTTGGGCAGTGATTCTTAATGGGGTCTGTGGACTTGTTTTAAAAGATAGATAAGATGGATAGATGTATTTCAACAGCTATCAACCAATAACTGGTTTCCTTTGTAATCCTAAGTATTTTGTTTTGTGCATTGAAAAACATTATTCTGAGGAGTCCATAGGATTCACCAGACTACCAGAGGAGTCAATGACACACAAAAAGTTTTAAAAAAAAACCAAAAAAAGCCTGGTTCTAGGGCTGTATGTTATGATGTCAGAGCCAGGAAAGACCTTAGAACAGGGAATATTAGACTTGGGGGATCTTTGCATACCATCTGATCCAATACCCTCATTTTACAGACGAGAAAACCCAGATTTCCTTAAAGATAGGAACCCTGTATATAGCTGGCGGTCACCTTAGGATCAAACAGCCTACAGTTCCATAGAAGGATCTGGACTGAAGTCAGAGGATCTGCCTTCAAATCTGCCTCAGAAGCCTGACTCACTGCCCAGTTGATACTGGGCAAGTCACTCCACCAGTCTGCCTCAGTTTCCTCAAATGTAAAATGAGGATAATAATAGCACCTAGCTCACCTTGCTGTGAGGATCAAATTCATTGCAAACCTAAATGTACTACATAAATGCTGGCAAAACCAAAAACCATTCACTTTGAGTAGGTCACTGCCTGGGCCTCAGTTTGCTCATCAATAAAATGAGGTTGTTGGGATAATCATTTCTAAGGTCCTTCCCACTAGGATATTCTGTTTTATGCTTGGAATAAAGTGTAGATTAGGGGGTTTTAACTTGGACCGTGAACTCTTTAAAAAAAACAACTTTGATAACTGCCTTTCAAGATAATCGATTTCCTTTGTAATCTTGTGTTTTATTTTAGGAATTTAAAACACTATTCTAAGAAGAGGCCCACAGATATTACATCCTGCAGAGGATTCTATAACCACAAAGAAGGTTAATAGATTGACATGTGGATCAATGCAATTCCCTCACAGTATTGATGAAGAAATAGAAGCCCAGAGAGGGCATGGGCCTTGTTCCAAGTTGCACAGCGAGCTGAGGAACTCTGTGTCTCCCTCTAGCGCAGGGACTGGGGGAGGCGGGAAGGTGAAAGTGTCACTAGAACTGAGGAGCTTGTGCCAGGACCTCAAGCCCAGAACTCGAGACTTCGATCTTTCCACTGCGCCTGTGCACGCCGCCTGGGGCCCAGCATACGTCACTTCTGGTGTGGAGGGGCGGGTGGAGCGGTCGGTGGGTCGGACCTGTCCGCGGTGCTGGCGGAGGCTCCAGGTTTGCCTGTGACCCGGTCCACCCTCCCTTCCGTTCTGGCCCGGGGAGCTGGTGAGTGTCCGCGCGCCCGGAGCTGGGGTGGGGGGGACTGGAGAGGGTCCGCGCGCGCTCGGGGCGCGGGGGCGGGGCCGCAGCCGGTGAGGGCCGACTTGTTTGCGCTTGCGCGTGTCTGGGGCGGGGCCGGAAAAGGCGGGAGGGAAGAAGTAAAGAAACTGACTAGGGGAGAGGATCCGGCCTCCCGCGACCTCCAGGCCCGCATCCCCAGTCTCAAACGCAACACGTTTAAAACGGAACTCACCCCCTTTCCCCCCCCAAAAAAAACCTGTGAAGGCAGTCTACCCCATCCTGCTGTGCACTCAGGTTTGCAACCTAGAATTCCTCCTGGACACTCCCCTCCTCCTCGCCCCCTACGCCTAATCAGTAGCCAGGTCTTGTCCGTCAATCTCTGCAACATCTCTCGCATCTGGCTTCTCTCCAGTCATCATGTTGGTTCCCCTCACTGGGCCAATTGCAACAGCCTTCTAATTGGTCTCTCTGCTTCCAGTCACTTCACTCTCCCGTCCGTCCGACCCTCCCCCTCCCCAGCGCAGCTGCCAGTGTGATATTCCTGAAGCCCAGGTCTGACCATGTCACTCCCTAGTTCAAAACAGCTTAATTAGCTTCCTGCTGCCTCTAGAATCAAATGCAAACATCTCTGTTTGACATTTAAAGCCCTTTTCAGCTAGCCCGAACTGTACTAATTGCTGTTGTGCATGCACAACATTGCATCTCCTTTTTCCGTGCCCTTGCCACAGGCTCTGCACGTGCCAGAAACTGCAGCCCTGCCTCGCATCTGTCTCTTAGAATACTCAACTTCATGCAGAGCCCAACTCAACAACCCTCTCCTGAAAGGAAACCTTTCCTGATTCTTCTAAAACAGAGGTTCTGAACCTTTTTGTGTGTCATGGAGCTCTTTGGCAGTCTGGTGAGGAATAATGTCTTTAAATGAATAAAATACAGAGGACTACGAAGGAAATTACTTACATCGAAATGCAGTTATTAAAAAAAACCCAAGTTCTCCGACTGGAGGTTAAGAACCATTGATCTAGATGTGATTGTTTTTTCCATCCTCAAATTACCTTGTACATGCTACTTGTGTACATTTTGTATCCCCTCACTAGAATGTAAACTCCTTGTGGGCAGGGAATGTTTTTCATTTTGTATTTGTATCCCCAGTACACAGTGCTTTACATATAGCAGGTACCTAAAAATACTTGTGGAATGAGTGAGGAGAATCAGGAAATGGGGTAGGGGGTGCTGGGCAAGGAGGAATCAGGGTAATCAATGAATTAAAGGGGAAACAGGGGAAGGAGAAAATCAAGGAACTTCGGAAAGGAGAAGGGGAGAATCAAGGCATGGGAAACCTGGAAAGAGGGACCTGAGAAAGGAAGACTCAGAATAGGAGACTGGAGAAGGAGAGAATGAGGAAGTGGAGACAAGGGAGAACCTGGGGGGAGACTTGGGAAAATGGGATATTGGGAAGGAGAGAATCAGAGGAAGAAAGAACCTGTGGAAAGGGAGATAAAGGGGGAAAGGTTACTCAGGGGAAAGGAGAATAAGGGGAAGGGAATAACTTATAAAAGGAGAGATCTCAGGAAAGGGCAACACTGCCGAAAGCTAGGGAGTTGTTGAATATTGCTTACTTCTTTACTTCCTTGCCCTCTCTGTGGACTGGAAGAGGATTCTGCAGACTTGTCTAAATAGAAAGGCCAAGTCCCAGGCCCATCACCCAGGCACCATTGTTATCTGGTAGTTTTCTGTTGACAGCAGCCCAAAGTAGAGCATAGAATATATGAACTGAAAGTACCCCCGACATCATTTATTCCAACTCTTTTATTTTACAGAGAAGAAAATGGAGGCCCAGAAAGGGAAGGGGACTTGTCCAAGGTCATATACTATAAGGTGCCCCAACGTTATTTTCACCTGAGGAGGAGGCTCCTGAGGGCCTGTGAGCAAAGTTGGATATTGCTAGTTTCAGGCAGTCAGCCAGCAAGCCTTTATGACGTGCTTACCGTGTACCAGGCATTGTGCTAGGTTCTGGCATACAAAGACAAAACTGAGTCAGTGCTTGCCTTTGAGGAGCTTACATTCTACTGGGATATACATGTTTACAGAGACATAGATAAAATAAATAAATACAGGATGTATACAAGGTAAATTTGCAAAAACTTGGGGGAAAAGGTCATTAACAACTGGGGGAATTAAGAGTGTTTTCTGGTGTTACTTGAGCTGGGCCTCAAAGGAAACTAAGTTCCTTCCCCATGGCAATTTGGCTTCTCTTTCAAAACTACTTTCTTGTACTCTGTGGCAGGTGGCTTTTATGGGTGGCACAACATGCTGGTAAATGAGCTTAAAATGGGTTTTTAAAATTTTTTTGGACAGCTTTCTGATAATCTAATGTCCGAAGAAAGTGACTCTCTGAGAACAAGCCCATCTGTGGCATCTCTGTCTGAAAATGAGCTACAGCTCCCCAAACAGCCTGGGTATGTGTGCTCCCTGACGGAGGAGCTCATCACCAAAGCCCGGGAGGAGCTGCAGGAGAAACCAGAATGGCGGCTCAGGGACGTTCAAGCCCTTCGAGACATGGTGTGTAAAGACTATCCCAACCTAAGTACATCGCTGGATGATGCTTTTCTCCTACGCTTTCTCAGAGCCCGAAAGTTTGACTATGACCGAGCCTTGCAACTTCTGGTCAACTATCACAGCTGCCGGAGGAGCTGGCCCGAAGTGTTTGACAACCTGAAGCCCTCTGCCCTGAAGGAGGTTCTGGGTTCAGGTTTTCTCACAGTGCTGCCTCACTCAGACCCTAGAGGCTGCCAGGTAGTCTGCCTTCGTCCAGGTACGTCTCTTGACTGTTGTCTCTGTGAGCTTGGGTTGGATTTGGTTCTTGTGGTGATAGAATTTCAAGCAAGAAGGGACCTGAGAGATCCTCTAGGCAGCCCCTGCATTTTACAGAACAGGAAACTGAGGCCCAGAGGAAGAAAGGGACTTGTTTAAGGTCCCATCAAGAGATGGGGATCTGGGGATTTAAACCTAGATCATCTGACTCTGATTGACCCAGTGCTCTCTCTTTCTAGTAGGAGACAATAGTTCTTTGTGTCTGCTGGAGGCCGTTGAGCAAAGGGAAAGGAGCTGTCTAGTTTTAGCTTAGTGATTATTTGGTCATGTGAGGGGAACCCTCTACTAGAGCCTTGGTAGATCCTATAGAGCTGGGAAACCTTGAAGTGTGGGCCCCTCTGTGGACAGCGCGACCATTGTCTGAGGTCTGGCTTAGCTAATTACTCATTGCCAGAAGGCTGGCCACCAGTCAAGGAACTTTTGGCCACTCAAACTCATGGAAATGTTCACGCTCTGTGTCAATGGAGAGGGCTGTGGTGGGGGCTAAGGGGCATGTTAGCTAGCTGTAAGTATTTAAAGAGCTACCACATAGGAGATGGAGTCTGTGCCAGCAGAGGGAGCTTGCTCACCAATGAGACCATGGTTTCGCTTTCACTGAGCGTGAGCCAGCAAAGGCCAGATGGGTGAATCTGAAGGTGGGCAGGTAGCATGGCGACAAGAACCATAGGCTGGGAGTCAGGAGACCTGGCTTCCCATGACAGTTCTGAGATCTAACCAGCTCTGGGACCTAAATCACGTCATCATCGGAACCTTATGCTCATCACCACCATCAAGTGGGTAAATAATACCAGCATTGCATGCCCTCAGGGTTGTGAGAAAAGCCTTTGCTGCTATAGAACTAGGAAAGCCTGTTCTGGGCTAGAAGACACTACCCGTTCTCTTCCAAGTGCCATGGCTTGGGGCACCCAGGCCAGAGAGGGCTGTGAAACTGCAAGCAGATAGAATAGCTTAGAAGTGAGTAGTTCCATTTCAGTCAGTCATTTTTTAGTCATGCCTGACTCCTCATGACCCCATTTGGGGTTTTCTTGGCAAGGATACTGGAGTGGTTTGCCATTTCCTTCTTCTGCTCATTTTGCAGAAGAGAAACTGAGGCAAACAGGGTTAAGTGACTTGCCCAGAGTCACACAGCTAGATTTGAACTCAGAAAGATGAGTCTTCCTGACCCTAGGCCTGGTGCTCTGTGCACTGTGGCGCCACCTAGCCACCCCTGAGTGGTCCCACTAGTTTGGGCCTAAGCTTGGACAGCAAACATGCAGGCCAACCCTGGGCCCATACTTGAAGCCCTTACAGCTTGTTAAGAGGGCCTGTGTTTCTGGTGATGATGGTATGAAGTCTAGTTTAGCTCCTTGGTGACAGGAACTGTGTTTTTTGCTTGTCTTTGTATCCCTAGTGCCTAGCACAGTACCTGGCAAAAAGTAATCAATTGATAAATGCCTATTGATTGATGATTGATTGGTTAACATGGCTCACTATTTTTTACTTTCATTAATTTGAAATTGATCTGAAACAATTTGTTAATGTTACCCATTGACCAAAGTCTCCCTGCTCTTTACAATCACTCACCACGTTATAGACATATTAACCATTAGACTAAAAACAACTAGAACTGAAAGTAAGATACTTCCTAAGCCAATAAAATTACAGCGTGTTGTCAGCAATGCTATATAAAGGAAATAAAACAGACTCATAGTCAGGAGACCTGGGCCGTATTCCTGGTTCAGTCACTAAGGTCACATACCTTGAACAGATTTCTCTGGGCTTCAGTTTCCCCATGTGTAAAATGAGAGGGGTAGAACTAGATGGTCTTCACGATCTCTTCCAGCTCTTTTAGTCTATAATCAGAGAAAGAACTGTGAGGCAGAATTTTATAATCTCTGAACTGTAAAGCAGGGATTATGGGAATCTGAACTATTGTCACAGTCATCATTGTCATTAGTAGCAGCCATGGAAACAGTGAGCAAATCTCTTAGGCTTTTTAAGCCTTAATTTCCTCATATGCAAAATAGGGATAACAATATGTGTAATAACAATAATAATAATAATAATAATATCATTTTCTTAGTTAATAAAGATTTGCAAAACACATGGTAAATCAAAAATTTATATATCAAAATCACAATGAAGAAAGTCACATTGTGGGAGGGATAACTGTAGTGTTTTTAAGTAAGGCAAAATAAGGAAAATATTACAAAGAAAACCAATTATACTGAAATGCAATGATCCAGATATTTAAAAAAACAAACAGGTTCACAGATTCCCAGGTTAAGAATCCCTGAACTCAGGTCTCCTGGACTCCAGGTGCAGCACCCCTTCCTCTTTGCCATCTAGCTGCTGGTATAGTGCAGCTGGGCACCTCTGCTAAAGAGGATGGAGAGCTGGCAGCAGGAAGACTTGGACTCCTGCGCCTCTGACACGGGCTATATGAACTTAGGCAAGTCACTGAGCTCCTCTGTGCTTGAGGCAATTCTCTAAGCTTCAAAGTCCCCTCATCTGGAAGTCCCCTATGCAGTCCGAATGAAATTCCAGGCACAGGTCTAAGCCCTGTTCCCTCCTTCACAGGCCTATTGAAGAAAATGCTTTGTAAATTGTAAATGCTACAGAAGTGTGAGCTATGCATTGTTATTATTGTTCATTTCTCTCCTCTTTATCTTGCAACCTCAGATAGGTGGATTCCAAGTAACTACCCAATTACTGAGAACATTCGTGCCATATACTTAACGTTAGAAAAGTTGATCCAATCCGAGGAGACCCAGGTGAACGGAATTGTTATCCTTGCAGACTACAAAGGAGTTGGCTTAGCCAAGGCTTCCCATTTTGGTCCTTTTATAGCTAAAAAAGTGATTGGAATTCTCCAGGTAAGGTCCCCACTTGGGTTGGGAAACGATACATAGATACATTAGTCAGCTGACACTTTATCCTTTATTCTTAGGGTGGTGGGGTTGGGGGATGATTTGGCTTTTCTCCCAGAATCTGGAATGCCCATTTTTCCCCTGAGCTATGGATGATTTGAAAGTTTTACCTTACATGGTAGGCTTGCCAGCGTCTCTCTTGGTTTCCCTGAGCTCCTGTAGTTTAGACAAGATCAGCTCTGAAAGTTTGAAGTGCAGAAAGCAAAGAAGGCCAGCTCCTCAGAAATTGGCTTTTCTTTTCCTAGGAGGTAGAATCTGACTTTTGCCGTCATTTATTTATATGAAACTTACATGGATGACATTTTTCTTTTTTTTTTAATGAAATTTTTCCAAGCCAAACCTCCTATAGAAAAGTTTGAGTATTTTTGTGCCTCAGATTGTTGAAGCAAATTGTATGATGTTTTCTTTTTTGCATATTTTTCCCAATTACACATAAAAGCAATTTTATGGGTTTTTTTTCATTTTGAGTTCCAAATTCTTTTCTTCCCTTCCTTCTCTTTCCCTTCCTTGAAAAGGCAAGCAATTTGATCTAGATTATACATGCGCAGTCATGCAAAACATATTTCAGTATTAACCATGTTGCAAAAGAAAACAGACCAAAAAGACAGCACCAGGAAAAATAAAAGTGAAAAATAGTATACTTTGACGTGCAGGCCTCCATCAATTCTTTCTCTGGTGGCAGATAGCATTTTTTGTATGATAATGTTTTCAAAGTACCTTGTTAACATTTGAGACATGAGGCCTGGTGCTCTGTCAGTGCTGGGGAAGGGACCTTGCATTGTACATGGCTGTGCTATCAGTACCCAGGTTCTGACAGGGCCTCTCAAGCTGGAAAGACTTGGTGACCAAAGCTGGTAACAGACTCTCTGCCTGTCATCTGAGCATTGGCCAGCTCAGGGCCTTTGACAATTTGGTAATCAGAAGCTTGGCCCCCCCATTGAAGACTTTTTTTTGGCCAGAACTACTCAGAATACCCCTGCTGAGGGGTGAAGAGGGTATGAAAGATGCATACTGGTAGGAGGCGTGTCTACACTTTGAAAGTTCTGGCCCTTTTGAAGCCTTGCAGGAGATCCAGCAGGGGTCAGTGGAAGCTGAAAGGGAGCCTTGGCACTGGGGGTAAGCATTAGACTGGGTTTATTCCTAGACAAATGTGTGGTAGTTACTACAACTTACGAAATAAGAAACCACATAAGGGTGTGCCCAGTTTTGAAACTTCAGCAGGGTGACTCCTGCTACAGCCTTCCTCGCTCCTCTGCATTCTCACAGCCACTGCTCTGACCCATTCACTCTCTTCCTTGGACTATTGTGGCAGCCTCCTAACTACTCTTTCTGCCTCCAAACTGCCTTCTCTACTGTCCATCCTATGTACTGCCTTGTATTAGTCTTCCTAATATGCCATGAGGCTACTCACCTTACTTTCCTGCCCCAACGTATCCAATGATTCTATTGTTTTTTAATTAATTAATTAATTTTTAGTTTTCAGCATTCACTTCCATAAGATTTCGAGTTCTAAAGTTTTCCCCCTCCCCCCTTCCCCCCCCAAGACAGCCTGCAATCTGATGTAGGGCTATATATGTACAATCATATTAAACACATTTCCACATTAGTCATATTGTAAAGAAGAATTAGAACCAAAGGGAAAAACCACGAGAAAGAAAAAACCAAAAAAAAAAAAAAGAAAAAAAAAAGAGAGAGAAAATAGTATGCTTTGATCTGCATTCAGACTCCATAGTTCTTTCTCTGGATGTGAATAGCAATCTCCATCATCAGTCTTTTGGAACCGTCTTAGGTCATTGCATTGCTGAGAAGGGCTAAGTCTATCAAAGTTAGTCATTGCCCAACGTGGCTGTTCCTGTGCATAATGTTCTCCTGGGTCTGCTCACTTCACTCAGCATCAGTCTGTACAAGTCTTTCCAGGTTTTTCTGAACTCTGCTTGCTCATCATTTCTTATGGAAATTAAATTCCATTACATTCATATACCACAGCTTGTTCAGCCATTCCCCAATGGATGGGCATTCCCTCAATTTCCAATTCTTTGCCACCACAAAAAAGAGCTGCTGTAGGGGCAGCTAGGTGGTGCAGTGGATAGAGCACTGGTCCTGGAGTCAAGGAGGACCTGAGTTCAAATCTGGCCTCAGACACATGATACTCATTATCTGTGTAACCCTGGGCAAATAACTTAATCCTGATTGGCTCACCAAAAAAAAAAAGAAGAGCTGCTATAAATATTTTTGTACATTTGGGTCCTTTCCCCTTTTTTGTGATCTCTTTGGGATACAGACCTAGTAGTGGTATTGCTGGGTCAAAGGGTAATGCACAGTTTTATAGCGCTTTGGGCATAGTTCCAAATTGCTCTCCAGAATGATTGGATTAGTTCACAACTTCACCAACAATCATTAGTGTTCCATTTTTCTCATGTCTTCTCCAATATTTATCATTTCCCTGTTTTGTCTTGTTAGCCAGTCTGATAGGTGTGATGTGGTACAATTGTTCCATTGTTGTCCAGATAAAGACCAAACCCTGTTATTTTAGCCTGGCACTCAAGGCTTTCCACAGTGTGATCCAGCCTGTGGGTCCTTCTCCTGTGACTCTCCCACATGCCCCCAACATTCCAGCCAAACTGTGCCCCTCATCAGTCGGTGAGTATGCTCCTTCTTTTCACCTCCATGCCCTTGATGTTTGCCCAACCTGGAATGCCCTTCCCTTTCTATCTCTACATTTCCAACTCCTGCTCATCCTTCAGGGCCCTGCACAATTGTCACCTCTCCAATAAAGACTCGACCAGTTCCCATAACTCACAGCCAGAACTCGTTTCTCCACCCTCTTCAGTAGCATCGTGTATAGCATATATTCTGCTTGGAGGGCCTTCCCTCCTTTACTAGACTGTAGACTTCCTAAAAGGAGGGATTGGCTCTTACTCCTGTCTGTCCTTCAAAAGGGTTTGCACATAGTAGGTTTTTGGTGTTTATTGAATTAATGAATCAGGAATGTGGCAGAAGAACTGAGCATGTGATACTTGATGGTATGTGTGTGTGTGCACGCGTGTGCACATGTGTATGTAGAGCACATCCTAAGCCTCCCTTCTTGATTGTTTGAATCTCTTGCTTTCTGGATTCACCAAATCTTGACAAAAGGTGAACATGTTCCAACCCAGAACATTTTCATCTCAGAGGCAGAAGTGGGTGTTCCCCACTCCCCATCACTAAATTAACTTTTTATTGCAAAAGACAGCTTTGATGGGTAAATAAGGCAGCAGAGGCCCTTGCTTTCTGCTACAGTGTATCTTTAAGAGTTCTCTGGTGCCCTGTAGGCACCTCGGACACCTTCCTTCTTCTGTTGGCCCCACTCCTTCCCCCACAGGCCAGTGAAGATGTTTTCTTTGCTTCTTACTGGGAGGAGCCCCATTATTGGGCACCCTCTGTGGGAGGTATTGCAGGGCAACAGGAAATCCTATTTCTTTTCCTGTTGTCAGCTTCACAGTGTGACCTTGGGAAGTGAGTTATCTCCTCTGAACTTCATCTGTAAAATGAGGTCTGAGGTCTCTTCCAGCTTTGCCGTTCTGTGTTCTAACAGTCTAGGTTCTCAGTCTTCCTGAATTCACTCCATCTCATCTGATCACTCATTCTGCACCCCCAACACACTGGCCCAGAACCTTCTAGCTCAGACCTGTCATGGTCCGGGTCCTTTCCAACTCTGACATCCTATGTCCTCAGCCTTCCTGAATGAACACTATTGCACTAACCTGTCCCTCAGCATTTGCATGTAAGTTCCAACACAGGCAGTCCATGTTCTAAGCTCTCTGCCAGCTCATATATTATCCAGTTGCTGTTCTAAATTGTTTTGGGGCATGGTTCTGTCTGAGAATTTAGCTTTTCTTTGGCATCAGTACTCTGCTCTGCCCAGCTCTTTGAGCACAGGTGAGCTTACAGGTGTTTAAGGGACTGGATTTGCAGGGTTTGGCATTTCCTGGGTCTTTTCCAGGCATCATATTTAACATTAGGAGGAATAGGTCCATACTTGTAACTCTGGCTCACTCTAGAAGGGCCACCTGCCCAGACGTTAAGTTCCTGATTTAGGTCTCAGCTTTGTTTTACGTGTAAGGAGCAGATCCAGAAATGGGCGTCTGCTTTGGCTGTTGTTGGCATCTCGGTACAGAAAAAAGAACACGGGCCTGGGGGTCTGGAGACTTGGATTCGAATCATGGCTTCCTCATTTGCTTACAGTAGGACAAGTAATGTAACTTCTCTGAGACACAGATTCCTCATTTGTAAAAGGGTTCAATAAGCCCCAGCCTGCCTGCTTCACATGCTGGTTGGAATCATCACATTTGATATGAAAATGCTTCATAAACTGTAAAAACACTAAATCCATGCGAGCTATGACTATTGAATTCAGTTAGTAAATGTTATGCATGGAGGGGTGGGAGATGTCTCAGAAGGAGGGGCATACAGACTTTGTTTCCTACAGAGGTTTCCAGATGTTCTAAAATACCTTTTCTTTTCTTACCACAGGATGGGTTTCCCATTAGAATAAAAGCTGTCAATATTGTAAATGAACCTCGAATATTCAAAGGCATTTTTGCTATCATAAAACCATTTCTGAAGGAGAAAATAGCTAACAGAGTAAGTGACTTACTTCTTTCTGTCAATGGCAGCTTTAAATGTTGGCCTTCTCCCACTTCCTTCTCCTCTTTGAAGAGGTTCAAGATTGTGGGTATGGAGCAGTATGGATAATATCAGACTTTTTCAAATTGTTAGTTTCACTTAACTTTTTTCCTCTTTTTTTATCCTTTTTTATAGGGGATGGCTTTCTGGGAGGGGGAGGAAGAGGGAATGTACTGGGAAATGTAGGTGATGTTAAAAATATATATTGATACAAGTTTATTTTTAAAATGAAAGTTTAATATAAGTTTTATTATAATATAGTAATTATAATATATAACATATTATACACAAGTAATTATATCTATGTTTTATATGTGTAATTTTAAGTTTTACTGTAAAGTTTAAAATAAAATTTGGCCTTTTCTCATGGAGTGGCCCCTCAAGGTAGATGTTTTCCTTATAGAATCTTTTTTTTCCTGTGGTTTTATTTTTTATAAGATCAATGAAGTTTAAGTTGTTGTTAGGGCAGACTGAGTGTGGAGATGCAAATTGATAACTTCCTCTTTCAAATGAGGGGGTTTGGCCTCCAGGTCCTCCAAGGATCCTTCTAGCTCTGACATTCCGTGATTCTTAAGTTCCTTCCAATTCTGATGTTGTAGGATCCATGGTCCATTCTAGCTCTGAAATTATGTGTCATCTAAATCCAACAACTGAATCAACCTTCTGGGGATAAAAGAGGAAATTCATCAAGGTTAACAACATTGTAGGGGCAGCTAGGTGGCGCAGTGAATAGAGCTCTGGCCTTGGAGTCAGGAGGACCTGAGTTCAAATCCAGCCTCAGACACTTCACACTTTACTAGCTGTGTGACCTTGTGCAAGTCACTTAACCCTGATTGCCTCACTAAAAAGCAAAACAAACAAACAAACCCCCCCCAAAAACATTGTAGAGACAGTGGCTACCCTACCTTCTGCTCCCTCCTGGCCACATGACCTTGCACTTCTGCCTCAGCTTCAGTTGTCTCATCTCTAAAATAAAGGGGTTGGACTCAGTGACCTCTAACTCCTTCCAACTGTAGATTTCTGATCCTGTGATTCACTGCCCCTCTCTCTCAATCTCAGTTTCTTCCTCTTCTGTAAAATGGGGGGACTCTCTGTGGTAACCTATGAGGTCTTAAGTTGTCAGCTCTGACTTTCTGAGTTTTAAGGCCCCTTCCATCTGTGACCTTCATGAGTCTTGGTTTCAGGACGTCTAGGAATTTACCTTGAAAGCTGTCACTATTTCTGGCCTTATTTACTTTTTAATTTCTTGACTTATGTCTAAAAAGTTAGGTCAGAGGGAGCCACAGTCATTAGAAAGGTGACTCAAAAGAATTTTGGTGATTTCTTATTTAATGGAACTTTTAGTCATAAATAGGCTCTCTGAGTGATTTTCAAAAGTTATTTACCTAGTTATTAATAGCAGTGTTATAGTTGGTTGGCCTTGTTTTCAGAAACTGGAAATAGAGAACTGAAATCTCCCTCCCTAGTTGCCCCTTTTTGTTCTGGTTTTGTTCTCTGGGGAGAAGTTAGCTTTTGCACTCTGTGTTTCCACAAGAAGTAGCCCTAGGCTACTAGGGTGCTGCTATTACTAAAGTCGGCTTTGGGGACAGTTACTCAAGTATTTTCACATGGCATTGTCAGAGAGGAACTAGACTTGGGGTCAGGAGACCTGGGTCTTTTTCTTGACTCTGCTACTTGCTGACTGTGTGTCTACTTCCCTTCCTTGAGCCTGTTTCATCATCTGTAAAATGGTTATGATGACCCCTGTCCTACTTACCTCTTGGGGTATGCCTCAAATAGTATAATAAGAAAAGGCTATGGAACGTGAGCTGTTCTCATTCACTGACATGCCTTGGTCTCCTTAACCTCGGTGAAATTTTGTAGCAGCAGGTGGAAATGCAGCTCTGTCCTAACATCTTTAGATATGTGCTTCATGGACTCTTCCCTGTTTGTTTCCCTTCAGTTTTTCCTTCATGGATCTGACTTGAATTCTCTACACCTGAATCTTCCAAAGAGCATCCTTCCTAAGGAGTATGGAGGCACTGCTGGGGAGCTGGATGCAAATGCCTGGAAGGAGGTGCTGCTGGCCTCTGAGGAGGACTTTGTGAAGGAGTTCTGCAGGCCTCTCCCTCCCAGCAGTACCCTTCTCCAGGACACCCTGATGGTGGAAGGAATAACCTCTGAGGTTCAGGGTGATGACTCCATTCGGGGAGTAAAGTCACAACTGTACTCCTGCTATTAATGAAGAAGTCACATAGTTTTCTACATACATTGCAGCCATTAAGTAATTTCTTTCTCCCTCCTAAAGCGTAAAAGGAGAATTTGAAGTCCCATGAGTTTGGCCCTATCCATTATAACTGAACAGAATTTACACCTAATAAAGTTATGATCAGCTTTAAAATACAAATATGTTACAGAAGGTGACATGTAGGTAAGTTGCTTGAAAATCAGTCTATGACAGACCTTTGTAGTCCACCTTTAGGCCCCTTGGAAATATAGCCAGTGGTCAAGTTTCATGAACCCCACTTTGAAATCATTCATCTGGTAGCTGTACTTTTGGAATATTGTAATTTCTATCAGTTTGGGTATTTCCTTCCTCAACACAGATTTCAACACTTCCATGCTTTGGTAGATGGTTTCATGAGCTTCTGAGCAAAAGCAATCTCCCACTTAGTGACCAACCCACTGGGGATGAACCTCTCTGCACTTAGCTATTCTTATCCTTGGATAGCAAGCCTACTAGTCTGTTGCTAGGGCTTTCCTTGAAATCCTTCCGTCTTGATGGGACCAGCCAAAGCTTGTGCTCCCTTGGCATTGTCTTTGAGAACCAAAGCCACTCTGTGAGGATTTGAGGGAAGGAATATCATTAACTGTTGCAAAAAGAAATCCAGCAGGGGGCAGTCCAAGGATAAGAGAGGTCTGCTGTCCTGGAGAAACCAGCCTGTGTGTGACGGATGAGCTCATTCGATTGCAGTGGAGATTGCTAGTAAGATTATGAAGATTATTGGAGGTCCCCTCATGTCTGGCTCCACAACCATCTGTCTTAAAGGTCACTTTCCCTGCGCTCCTCCTTACTGTCATCACTGTGACCTATCAGGAGCTGCTGATTCATCAGCTGTACCTTTTTTTAAACTGTAATGTTTCTTGCTTCAGTGTAGAAGTATCAGGGCACCATCAGAGAGTTTCCTTTCAGAATTCTGGAGCCAAAGACGTTGTGGCCCCTTGGAGACTCCTGCTGCCATGATCCCATTTTTCCAGTTGCCCTGAAGGTCTCAGCCCTCATTCTTTACTGAATATCATTCCCAGGAAGGTAGCCAATATGGCAGCATGGTTTTGGAAGGGGTACAATTTTAATAGACTTAAAATCACCAGATTTTAGTGTAGTATAACAAAAAGAGCACCAATCAGTGATCCCCATAGTTTACTCTGGCATCTGGTCTCATTTCTGCCACTAACTCATAGTGGAGCTCAGCCTCTGTGGACCTCATATTCTTTTTGGCTGTAAGATTCTGGGACTCAGTTTAGTTACTGAATAGTATCCTACATCAGTCTTCTACTTGCTGGAGGCAGCTGTGGTATAGTGGGTAGAGATGGACTCAGCATCAAGACCTGGGTTCTGGCACATACTGGGCAGATCATTTAACCTGCTGGTGCTCTAGTCAGCTCTAAGACTGTAAGTTACAGAGAAGGTGCTGAACTGCAGTCGTAGAGGAGATTTGCTCACCTTGGAGTTCCCAAGGCTAGTCCTTATCCCTTTCCCCCTACTAAGACGAAGAGCTGGACCAGACTAGGGAGATCTTGTCATCTCTATTTGTACGTAGGCGTCACTAGAGGGAGGTCCCACACCACTTTGCATTCCAGGACTTTAGACATTGAAATCTTTGCTAAAGATCATTTTTTTTTTTAGTGACCTATAATATTGTGAAGCCAGCAAAAGGCCTCTGAGTGCTTAAAAATTCATAGGGCTTTGGGAACCAAATGGAGATAGGATGTTAAAAAGGCACATACATTCTCAAGATTTCCTGTGAGCTTTCTGTCTGTAGATGTAAGTTATACCTGCTCATTAGGATTCCTGAGCTGTTTTGCCACTCCACCCCTGCTTCTTGTCTCCCTCATCCCACCTTGAGAGCCCCTGTAGTGTGTCAGCTAGAGTCAGGTCAGCCATTCTAAACCTGGGCTGGGAGTTTTAGCACTTTACGTCCTCGGTGTCAAGATTTTGCCTTTGCCCTGCACCCCTGTAGGATTGAGGTTTGCTGTTTTTAGACCTGGTTTATGTCTGATTTATTGCATATACAAGATTGTTTAAAATTGTAGCCTCACCCTTGATGTGCCTCTTCTCTGCATTTATTTTAATGTACTGTAAAACCAAGAGCAAGGCATATGTTTAATTCCCTAGAAGCAGAGCAACCAAGACATACAGAAGCCATTTGTTTATACCTTTACTACCAGGTAGTTGATCTGTATAGCAGTTTCTGAAAAGCACTTTCTTGACAGGTTTTTTTCTGGTGAAATCCCATTTACTTTGCCTCCTTGGTGCCAATTCTTATTCAGGGAAAGCTTATCTCCTCATAGATTAATACTGTGTTCTCTAGGAAGAGCTGAGACATGACATGTTTTGAATGCCAAAATGACAATGGCAGTGTGCCTCAGATCACCAGAAATGGCCTGGAAAAAACAAAGGCTTTCAGCCTTGGGAGACCTCAGAAGTGAAAATTTCATCTATGTCAGAAGGGAAAACCCATTCCTGAAAGTAGAGACAAGCTTTCATCAGGGCCTGTTGGATTTAGATTTGGAGTGGGGTAAAGATAAAGACTCACCTAGGCCAGTAGTAAGAAGTAGGATTAGCAGAGGGAAGTTGAAAATCATAAGTTCCTTCTGGTCACTGGAAGGAAAAAGAGGTAAATGGAAAAAATTACCTTGGTCCAAGGTTCCTGAGCATTAGTGGCTTCAGTGAATGACCTTTTGAATTACCCAGCATTAACTGTTTGTTCATAACTCTAATATGAATGATGTAGCAAATCTAGAGAAGTTACACAAAGATCAGGTCATGTCCAGTTCCCCTCAGCTCTTCCAGGAGTCTCAGAATCCAAATCTTCTCAATGTGTGCCCTCATTATGATGGGACCAAGGTTGCAGTATCCTTTCTTGAAAGCCTGTGACTACGGGAGGATGTTTGCTCATTAGATGTCTTAGAAGATTTGAGGAAGGATTATGAGTGGGGAACTCGATCGGATGGCAGCACAGGTGATCCCTGCACTCTCTCATTGAGGCATTTTAAGGAATTCTTTCTGGGCAGTGAATAAGGAAAGCAAAAGGCATCTGTGGGTCAGGCTTTTTTCCTTTGGTTTTGATGTGAAGTGACCTGTACCAACAAGAGGGATATTAGTACTGGAAGCAGATTGTGCCATAAATCATACTTATCATGACTTTTAAAAGTGAGAGTTCCAGCTGTCACAGATGCATAGGATTATTTCCTTTGGATCTCCCTTTGAGGAAAGGTCCTAGCCAATTTTATAAATGTCTGAAGCCATGTCTAAACCCTATATTGTGCCGTTGCCGTGGCCTGACTCACCCTTACTGCCACCATCCACAATTTGGCTCTCAGTTGCTCCATTTGTAAAAAGAAGACTAGATTATCTCTAAGGCTTCTTTGAGCTCTAAAGTCTATGACTTTATGATCAACTGTTGTATTTAGAGGATGTGCCTCTTTTATTAATTAGCCCATTCAAATTGATTTGATTTTCCTTTTGATTTCTCCTAGTTCAGAATTCTAGAACACTGTAGTCCCCTCCTGAGTTCATCTTGTGCCTTAGTTAAGGACAAATTTTAGAAGCAAGTGAAAGTAAGAGGGAGCTTTGTTTTAGTAGAAAAATCTCTGGTTGTAGTTAGAAGACATGGGTTTTTGAATCCTGTGACCTAGAGCATGATTTTCCCCCTCTTCAGGCCAGAGTTTCTTCCTTTGTAAAATGAGGTGACTTGACTAGATGATGTATAAGAACCCTTCTAGCTGAAAATTGTTTTTTTTAACAAGACCTTCTTCTTGCTGGTGAATGTTTCATCCTCGACACCTGATGGCAAACCAGCCTGGGAGAGACAAAAACGTGTTCTTTATTAACTCCAAGAAAACTCAAGATGCCTGGGAGTTCATCCAGCTTTCATCAGAAGTCTGTTGTCCCGGGAGGTGGGCATGTAGTGTCAGGTCACTTGTCAATGAATACAAAGATGGGGCAGATGTATACATGTGTGTCTTCTGCAGTCCCATATGACTCTGAAATCTTTAGAACTCCCCCTGGGGAGGTTTTTGAATTGCCCTGTCTGCTTTATCCTCAGATGAATTGTGGGTAGCCAGGAAGCTGGAGGGAAGCATTCTCTAGTGCTTCCTCATGTTTATGTTTCAGCTTGTGGCATTTTTCCTTTGAATTTTTCCTACTTAGAGGCAGCTTGGTGGTGCAGTGGATAGAGTACTGGCCCTGGAGTCAGGAGGACCTGAGTTCAAATCCTGCCTCAGACACTTGACACTTACTAGCTGCGTAACCCTGGGCGTCATTTAACCCCATTGCCTAACCAAAAAAAAAAAATTTTTTTTCCTACTTGAAGAGTGAATGACTTTTCAGCAGTTAAGTTATTCATGGTGGTATGGTTGCTCATCCTTTGGTTATTGAGTGGTGTCCTGATAATGAAATAAAGGAACAGGGATCATCCTGAGTAGGAAAGGTGAAATCCTAAGTCTAGTATAGTGGAAAGAACCCTAGTATGGAGAGCCAGAAGACCCGAGTTCTAGTTCTGGCTCTGTGACTAAATAGCTATGTGACTGTATGCAAGTCATTCTTGTCTGGGGCTCAGTTTCTTTAGCTACAGAATGAAGTTGGACTAATTGGTCTCAAAGGCCTCTTCCAAATTTGATAGTCTCTGTGCTAACATTCCTTTCTGTTCTAACATTCTTGTTGTGCTTTAAGGTACCTTCCAGCTCTGAAGTTTTGTGAGTCCTTATCCATTCACTATTGCTCGTTCTGGGGGAAGCCAGGAATGACTTGGTAAACCAAAGCTTTCTCTCCAAACATGTGATCCAAAAGGAGTATGTACAACTGAGATATTAAGTCACCAACTGGTTTTAGAAAAAGATCCAAAATGGTTCTGAGTCACACAAACATTTTTTCTTCAAGGAAGGACCTTTCACTCATATGAGGGTAATAACTCAGTAACTGTTGCTTGTTTGTTAAATAAGCAATTAGTTCATGTTATTTTTCTTTTCTTTGTTTCTTTTTTTTTTAAAACATAACCAAGCAGAATTATTTCCTTGGGCACCAAGTCAGTGGCTGCTTGGGATCAGGCCTGCTTCTCTTGGCACATGGGGTGAGGATAAGGCTGGGGAGAGGGAGGAGGGTGGAGAGCAGACCTGTTCCTCTTT